AGCATCTTAAAAAGCAGAGACATCACCTTGCCAACAAAAGTCCGCATATTCAAAGCTATGGTTTTCCCTGTAGTGATGTATGGAAGTGAGAGCTGGACCATAAAGAAGGCTGACCGCCGAAGAATTGATGCTTTTGAATTGTGGTGCTTGAGGAGGCTCTTGAGAGTCCCCTGGACTGCAAGGAGAACAAACCTATCAATTCTAAAGGAAATCAACCCTGAGTGCTCACTGGAAGGACAAATCCTGAAGCTGAGGCTCCAATACTTTGGCCATCTCATGAGAAGAGAAGAGTCTCTGGAAAGGACCTTGATGTTGGGAAAGTATGAAGGCAAGAGGAGAAGGGGACGACAGAGGATGAGATGGTTGGACAGTGTCATCGAAGCAACCAACATGAATTTGACACAACTCCAGGAGGCAATCGAAGATAGGAGGGCCTGGCGTGCTCTGGTCCATGGGGTCACAAAGAGTCGGACATGACTAAATAACTGAACGACGAATGCCTTTATTATGTGATGGTACTATTATACTATTCATCTCTTTGCTGTTTAAATTATATAGTAGTTGGAAGAAATATAGTCCTGCCTTCATGACTTGCTTATCACGTACTAGAAATTTTGAAATTGAGGAATGCATACTGGGGATCTCTGAAGTCTTCAAAGGACAGTATAAGACAAAAGTCTTTTCTCATTGTATCATGCATATGATATCTTTTATAATTGTAAACCAGTTTTCCTTAAAATTTGTTTTCATGCACAAGTTTCTATTATGTAATATTTTACCTTGTCATAATAGAAGTTGTCTCTACAGAGTGATTTAATAGATTTTCATTATAAAATGTAGTTATTTTTTTTTAAAACATTTCCATCCTACAGTACTTTTTCTCCCATGGTCAATATCCTGTTGCTTAGCTCCACTTGTATAGTAGGAATGATATTCCTGGAAGTAGTAGATTGTTGCTAATTGGAGAGTTCATTCTTCAATTTTGAGTTGCTCACAACTCATGCACAGTGAGATGACGTTGTGTACAATTTAGAACTGAAACAAGAACTCTTTAATTAGTGTGAAACTCCCTGTATTGCCATAACTATTGCTCTGGGAAAGCTCCATAACAGGATTTTGGCAAATGATTGTCCTCAGAACAGTCTTGTCAGGGTCAAGCTGAGAGAATATGACTGGTGCAAAATTATCTAGTGAATTTCATCGTGAAGTGGGAGTTTAAAGTTAGATTTCCCAAGTCCTGCTTCAGAAATCTAATCATCACATCAGTGCCCATTTATATGCTATAGCATACATTTTTGGATATTTATTCTGTTAACTCCAAAGTCATGTACTGTCTCTTGTCTGGAGAAAAATAGACAAAATTGAATCTGAATTTTAAAAATGTTTTAAAATATTCATACCATTTAGCTTGAAGCAGGAAGGCATGTATAATAGTTGTGAAAGTCAGAACTGATATTTATGTATTTGATTTTAGTGTGAACACCTTAAATATATAGTTTCTTTGCCTCCTTAGTAATATTTTGTGCTTTTTCATGTGTGCATACATTCTGTGAAAACTTCGTGAAATTAATAAAATGAAAGAATCTCACTAAACTTCTTAAATGACAAAAGCTGGGTAAAGTTTGTTGACCTTTTGCAGGCTGTATTTTTCAGTGCTGGGAACCAGGCTTTGTTGAGTTTTAGACTTACTTCTTTTTTGTTGAAGCTCTGCTGGTGTTTGTGGATTTCAATGACTTCCCTGTGCAGTCTAACATAATGATTGCTGGTGTTGTCCAGTACTTCAGTATTTTGAAATAGAATTTCATGTCCAGCTTGTTTTAGGGCATGTTCAGGACACTGCAGACTAAAACTATTGGAAAAATTGGCAGTAGCTGAACATTACTGCTAACTAATGAAGCACAGTTTGTATTATGAGGCACAGGCAATAGCTGATTCCCCAAGTTGCCAACAGGATTCTGGCTGTTCTGAGGGTTGATTTTCTAAGTGTTGTTTCTCCAAACTTTTAGGTGATTCCTCCTAAGGAATGGAAACCAAGGAAGAGTTATGATGATATTGATAATCTGATGATTCCAGCTCCAATTCAACAGATGGTTACTGGCCAGTCAGGCCTTTTCACTCAGTACAACATCCAGAAAAAGCCAATGACTGTGAAGGAATTTAGACAACTTGCCAACAGTGACAAGTGGGTATATTCATTCCATGCTTTTTCTGAAGTAAAGATTATGTGGTTGCTCTTGTAGAGTGAACCAGTGGTGTTTCAGTAGTCTTTGTTTCAGATTATTTAAATTGAAGTTTTATATTTCATGATTTCTAAGTAAAGAAATAATATAGTTATGCAAATTAACACAGGATCACGTTTATGCTACCTCTAAAACCTGCTGTACATCAAGTGAAGAGTTAGTAAAATTATCACTTTATGATGGCAGAAGGTTTAGGACAAAATGCCTTTTTTGCATGTGTGTTCATACCAGGAAAACAACTTAAAGGCTGAATTCCTGTTATATGATTATGCAAATGGTGAACTGGAGTAAATTCAGAAATTTCCAGACATTCTCTGTTACATGACTTGACATGCAGTGGATAAGGTCTACACAGATTTCTTAAATTACGGCAATTGTCTTCTAAAGGTCACACCATTTGTGTAACTGTGCAACAGGATTTTAGCCAGTATGACATTTATAGGAGGGAAAATACACTATATATTTGTTTTGTGTATATATAGATTATTTCACAGAAAACCTGTTTTTCGAAATAATGCAGTATGTTTTGGATGTTTCATTTTGAACAATATTGGTATGCATGGGTGTGTTACTGGTACTTATATAGTTGAGTTTACTGTATAATAATTTTATCAGTTATAGCCAATTCTGACAGTGCAGTAGTACAGAACTGCTAAACAAAAATTTTCAGAAAAAACAAAGCTGAAACTAGTGAAACCATCTGAAATTGGAATAATCTTAACCCATCTTGGAGTATCTTTGTTCCAGTAATTGGTTATGATGCGTTTACGTAGCTACATCTCACTTTTTGCATTTGTTGTATTAAAAATAAGCCCATGTAAAGTTGTCATACTAGGATATTTAATTGCTATAAAAATAATTACAGTCATGTGAAAAAGAAAGTACACCCTCTTTGAAGTCTGTAGTTTTACATATCAGGACATAATAAAAATAATCTGGTTCTTAGCAGGTCTGACAATTAGGTAAATACAACCTCAGATGTACTACACATATTACACTGTCATGATTTGTTTTACAAAAATAAAGACAAAATGGAGAAGCCATGTGTGAAAAAACTAAGTAGATCCTTACTGCTTCCCTAGGAATTGAGAGACTAAGTAGCAGTTAGGTGCTACTGACCAGATGTCGTTGTGTAATTAATCATCAGCAAGTGTGCCCACCTCTATAAAAGCCATAGTTTCAGCAGTTTGCTGGTCTGGAGCATTCAGATGTGTGTTTACATAATGCCAAGGAGGAAACACATCAGCAGTGATCATAGAGAAGTAATTGTTGCTGCCCATCAATCTGGAAAGGGTTGTAAGGCAATTTCCAACAATTTAAAGCCCATCATTCTACAGTGAAGAAAATTATCCACAAGTGGAAAACATTCATTTGCCAATCTTCCCAGGAGTGGATGTCCAAGCAAATTCACCCCAAGGTGAGACTATACAATGCTCAGAGAAACTGCAAACAACAACAACATTGAGTTACAAGACTCTTCAGGCCTCAGATATCATGTTAAATGTTAGAGTTAATGTCAGTACAATTCGAAAAAGACTGAACAATAAGGTTTGTTCGGAAAGGTTGTGAAGGGAAAGCCTCTTTTCTCTAAAAAGAACATGCCAACATGGCTTAGGTTTGCAAAGTTGCATCTGGACAAACCACAAGACTTCTGGAACAATGTCCTTTGGACAGATGAGACCAAAGTGGAGATGTGTGGCCACAATGCACAGTTCCACATTTGATGATAACCAAACACAGCTTATGAGCATAAAGACCTCATACTAACAGTCAAGCATGGGGGTGGTGGTGGTGGTGTGATTTTTGCTTGTTTTGCAGCCATAGGACCTGGACACATTGCAGTCATTGAATCAACGATGAACTCCTCTGTATACCAAAGTATTCTAGAGTTGCTATTCTAGAGTTCCATTGTATAGTGCAATACTAATGTGTTGTGCTATGGGAAATTGAATGTGAAGGATGTGGATGTGAATGAGAGGGATGTGTTTTATGTGTAATGTGCTATGTTTTCATGTTATGGATGCTATGTTTTTGTGTTTTATCATTGTACTGGAGATGGCATTTAATTTCATTGTATGGAAGTACAATGACAATAAAGTAAATTCTATTCTATTCTATTCTATTCTATTCTATTCTATTCTATTCTATTCTATTCTATTCTATTCTATTCTATTAAATGTGAGGCCATATGTCTGACAGCTAAAGCTTGGCCAAAATCGGGTCATGTAACAGGACAAAGATCCCAAGCACATCAGCAAATTTATAACAGAATGGCTGAAAAAGAAAAGAACCCAGGTGTTGCAATGGCCCAGTCAAAGACCAGACCTCAACCTGACTGCAATGCTGAGTGGGGACCTTAAAGGAGCTGTGCATAAACAAATGTCTACAAACTTCAATGAACTGAAGCAACATTGTCAAGAAGTGTGGGCCAAAATTCCTCCGCAATGATGTGAGAGATTGATAAAGTAATACAGAAAACCATTACTTCAAGTTATTGCTATTAAAGGTGGTTCCATGAGCTATTGAATCATAAGGTGTACTTAGTTTTTCACACATGGCTTCTCCATTTTGCTTTATTTTTGTAAAATAAATCAGGACAAAGTGTTATATGTGCTGTTGTTCCTCCACGGTTGTATTTACCTAATTTTTTGGCCTGCTAAGGACTAGATGATTTTTATTATTTCCTGATACATAAAACCATAAACTGCAAAGAGGGTGTACTTTATTTTTCACATGACTGTATGTGTTTTGGATAAGCATGGAAACCCCCCCTCCCATTTGCTTCAAAGGGACTTTTAAAATATAAAATCAGACACATAATGGAGTGTTTACCGAATGTTTATTAAGGTATCACAACATTTTTGTATTTTTTATTTTGTTTTGTTTTTGCCTGATGAATGTTTATTGTAACCTTATTTTCATACAATTGAGTTTGCAATATTTTTGAATTTATGTATTCCTGCATATTTAGTGTAGAGGAAAGAAAATTGCAAGCTTCCTTGTGTATCTAGGAGCCCTGAATGGGTTAAAGGTATAGTGGTGCCCCGCATAACGAGCAATTCGTTTAACGACGAATCCGCATAGCAATGTGTTTTTTGTGATCACAAAAGCAATCGCATTGCGATGTTTCTAATGGTAAAACATCGCTTTGCAATGATCGGTAAGCGTTTCGCTTACCAATTTTCGCATAGTGATGTTTTTTTAAACAGCTGCTCGGCGGTTCCAAAATGGCTGCCGGGTAAAGAAAATGGCCGCCGGGTAAATAAAATGGCCGCTCGCTGTGTTTTCACGCCCTTTCCTCGCTTACTGGGCAGCGAAAATGGTGGCCGCATTGAGGATTTCGCCATAAAGGTGAGTTTTTTGCCCATAGGAACGCATTAAATGTGTTTTAATGCGTTCCTATGGGCTTTTTTGCTCTGCATAGCGACAATTTTTTCGGAACGGATTATCTTCGCTATGCGGGGCACCACTGTACTTGAAGGACTGTTTCCTTCTGTATGATCATGCCCTTCTCTGTGGCTGAGGTACAAGTGGTCAGAGCAAGAAAATGCCTTCCCTATGTTTGCCTTTGCATTGTAGAGATACTCCAGTGGTTTTTACCCAGTGAACTAGAACTATCTTCTTCCCAGGAAGCATTTTGTTTGCCAGGCAGATTATTTTTATGCATAGGTTTAGAACAGTTTCCCCCCCTCCTGTTTTGAAATTGCTATTAAAAAAAAGCATTGTTTATAAGCTGTACTGAATGATGCAGTTGGGTTGAGATGGCATACTATATATTTTCTAAAATTGGCTTGGCTGCTCGGCGGTTCCAAAATGGCCGCCGGGTAAAGAAAATGGCCGCTCGCTGTGTTTTCGCGCCCTTTCCCCGCTTACTGGGCAGCGAAAATGGTGGCCGCATTGAGGATTTCGCCATAAAGGTGAGTTTTTTGCCCATAGGAACGCATTAAATGTGTTTTAATGCGTTCCTATGGGCTTTTTTGCTCTGCATAGCGACAATTTTTTCGGAACGGATTATCTTCGCTATGCGGGGCACCACTGTACTTGAAGGACTGTTTCCTTCTGTATGATCATGCCCTTCTCTGTGGCTGAGGTACAAGTGGTCAGAGCAAGAAAATGCCTTCCCTATGTTTGCCTTTGCATTGTAGAGATACTCCAGTGGTTTTTACCCAGTGAACCAGAACTATCTTCTTCCCAGGAAGCATTTTGTTTGCCAGGCAGATTATTTTTATGCATAGGTTTAGAACAGTTTCCCCCCCTCCTGTTTTGAAATTGCTATTAAAAAAAAGCATTGTTTATAAGCTGTACTGAATGATGCAGTTGGGTTGAGATGGCATACTATATATTTTCTAAAATTGGCTTGGAAGTTTGGCCAGTTATTGTTACAGGTTCTGAAAGGGATATTGTGACGGTTGCCCCACGCCACTCCTGTCACTCACAGTCTGGCTCTCATTAGCATGAGCCTATGAGAGGAGTGGAGGGGCGGAGTCAGCAGATCTAAGGAGGTTTTGGCCTATGAGAGAAAGAGGCAGAGAAGCAGAAAGAAGCAGAGTGAGATAGAGAGATTGTCAGGGAGATAGTGAGAAGAAATAATAATGGAAATAAGCTGGTCAAGATAAATAGATAGAGCAGGTGGTGAAGGTGGCAAGATATATGATGATTGAATGATTACATTGTATGCATTGAATAAAGAATATCTGTATTTATAATTAAAGTTAATACCTTTCAATAAATCAGTTCTGTTAGCAGCAACCTGACAAGTGTCTGAATAAAGTTCTTTATATATTGTGGGTATCGGAAATCCACTGGTGGCAGTAAGAAAAAGGGGGAACATCGCAATTATTATCTGCTGGTGGGAAAGTGTAGCATGGGCCCTTTGTTTGGGGAAACAAGCTGGGGTTACGTGGTAAACATCACAGATATGAAACACAAATCATGATTTTGGAAATTTGTAAAAGTCTCTTTTTCTCTTTCCATCTATAGATACTGTACTCCAAGATATTTAGACTATGAAGACTTAGAGCGTAAATACTGGAAGAATTTAAATTTTGTGGCACCAATCTATGGAGCAGATATTAATGGAAGCGTATACAATGAAGTATGTGTGTTTATCCAAAATTATCCAGTGTTGCTTTGTTTCTCATCATGAATAAGAATCACAGTTTGGGTATTATCCAATTTCCATTTCTTTTGTGCATATATCCATGTCGTATAATTTGAAGCCATTACTTTATTTCTGGAGACAGATGCCTCTAGGGAACTAGAAATACAGTAGTCTTTGTGTCTTCTTTGAAGGAGTAACTTAAAGTTCCTATGGTGTTTCCTGTTTCACTAGTGACCAGATGAATATGTCGTACACAAAGCATGAGACTTCACAAAGATAAGAAAGTTATTGATATTAGAGCAGTGAAAAGGGCAGAATAATCCAACTGTAGCAAGAAATTAGATAGGTAAAATGTAAAATAAAAGAATAAAATGAAGTGATGTTGGACTGAAAATATAATCCTACACATGCTTACTCAGGAAAGTATCACATTGAGCTGAATGCAGTATATTTCCATATACAATTATATAGGATTGCCAAATAGAACTCAGATGCTATTATCTATAAACAAATATGGAGGTAAAAGTGTAGGGAAATACCATCTAGAAAGCTTTGTTTTTTAATAGATTGACTTTTTTTCTAGCCACCAGGTGGTACCCTTGCACAAGCATACATTTCATGTATGTTGTATCCTGTTAGTAAAATTGCTTCTAAATTTAGAATCTAGATCTTGTATTTATTCAGATCAGGGATTTTCATGTATTTAGTAAGAATGGAAAAAGTATGGTGTGGCTAGAATGAGGCAATGCAGGGGAGCAACTGCTTGGTATACTTACATCATCATGGGAAACAAAATTCAATAAATAGAATATGTGGCTTTGTTTCTGCCAGTAAAAGTAGTGTAAACAAACTAATGGAGTTAATATAGTTTCCATAATATATTAACGTTACTATTCTATGAGACTTCAGTTTTTAGAAAAAATCTCTGCCAAGGTATATGCAGTAATTCAGTGTAATATAATATTATGCTTTACAAATGTCTTGAATTCTTGATATGTAACTGACAAGCTTGGTTATAATGCAATGGCTGGAGTTCAAAGAACTACATAGATGTAGATTTTTGGCTTCTTTTTAAAAAAAGTATCAAATTGCTACACTATTGATTAGGCTTGGAGAGTGGTTCATCATCTTCCTAATTTGACATCCCATTTCATTCACTCTACTAAAGAATCTGGCTCCCACCATGACAGAAACAAAATGCTTCTTCCTAAAAGGGCATACACAGTATTACAAGTATTGTCTTATCATTTTTACATTTGTGGAAATGGTAGAGGTTGTTTAGGAGAAATATTGTGTCCAGAGCTAGTGCTCCCATGCAAGGATATGCTTATGAGGGGGTGCTGATAAGTATTGAGCCTTACCCAGAAAAAAAATTGAGCTAGGAAATTATAAATTGTAGGGTGTATTGGCCAATTTGTCTATATTCAATGGTGCAAAAGTCAACTACCTATGATTTTAACTTTCATTTTCTGGTCCAAAGTGAACATGGCGGCACCTCCAGAAAGGTTCAGTGTGGAAGAGCATAGGGCCATAAACAAGTTCCTGTTTCTCCAAGGAAAAGGTGCAAAGCAGACCCATGATGATGTCAGGAATCAGCTGAGGGGAAGGCCTGCCACTTCCTCTCTTGACCCTTGGCCGGCCTGGCTAATCAAAGCAGCCAGGCCTATAACAACGGAATGGGCCACAGTGATAATTAATGGGTCTCTCCAGGAGGGCAAGGTTCCTCTTGCCCTCAAGGAGACACTCATTAGGCCCATTAGAAAGAAACCAAATTTGGCGGTGGACGAAATTGGCAATTATAGGCCCGTCGCCAATGTTTCTTTCCTTAGCAAAGTGGTAGAGAGGGTGGTGGCTTATCAGCTTCAGGCGCTTCTGGATGAAACTAATGCTCTGGATCCATTTCAATCGGGATTCAGGCTGCGCCACGGTACAGAAACGGCACTGGTTGCACTGTTGGATGACCTGCTGAGGGAGGCTGACGGGCAATATGTTCTTGTTGGTCCTCCTCAATATCTCAGCCGCCTTTGATACCGTCAACCATGGTATCCTCCTGGGGAGGCTCTCTGAGCTGGGAATCGGTGGCCTGGCTCTTGCCTGGCTCCATTCCTTCTTGGAGGACCATCCCCAGAGAGTACAGCTTGGGGAGAGTGTCTCGGCCCCATGGAGTCTCAATTGTGGGGTTCCACAGGGGGTGATTATCTCCCCAATGCTGTTTAATATCTATATGAGGCCGCTGGGAGGGGTCATCAAGGGGTGTGGGGCTTCGTGCCATCAATATGCTGATGACATCCAGCTTTACATCTCCTTTTCACCTACTTCAGTGGATGCCGTTCTGTCCCTTCAGTGCTGCCTGGACACTGTACTGCAATGGATGCAGCTGAATGGGTTGATGCTGAAACCGGAGAAGACGGAGGTCTTGAGGGTGGGTGCCCCCCCATTGGTCGTTTGGGAGACTCCCTCTCTTTTGGGGGGTGTCTCTCACCACATGGAGTGAGGTCTGCAGCTTGGGGATACATCTGGACCTGGCGCTTACCATGGAAACCCAAGTGGTGTCCTTGGCCTGCTCCGCCTATTTTCATCTGTGGCAGATGACCCAGCTGCGACCCTACCTTGATGGGGAGTCCCTCACTACTCTCGTCCACGCGCTTGTAATCTCGCGATTAGACCACTGCAATGCACTCTACGTGGGGCTACCTTTGAGACTGATGCGGAAACTTCAAATGGTGCAGAACGCGGCAGCCAGACTTCTTAGTGGAGTGAGAAAACACCAGCTTATCTCTCCCAATCTGGCTGCCCTACACTGGCTGCCCATTCCTTCCGCATCGACTTCAAAGTATTAATGATGACGTATAAATCCCTAAACAGTTTGGGACCTCTGTATTTGGCAGATCGCCTTCTCCCACCCAGATCTACCTGAATTACTCGGTATAGCCCAGATGGTCGGTTGAGGGGCCTAGTGCCGAGAGAGGCCCGGAAAGAAAAAACAAGAAACCGGGTTTTCCCAGCAGTGGCCCCTTGACTATGGAACAATCTTCCATCAGAGATCTGCCTGGCTCCCTCGCTGGGTGTTTTTAAGAGCCATTAAAAAACTTGGCTCTTCAGGCAGGCTTTCCCTCATGTCAGTTCTTGAATTCTATCTTTTCTGTTCTTTTATTCCCCATCTTGATCACGCTATATTAATGTTCGAATGTTTTTTGATTATGAATGTTGTTTATTTTGATTGTGCTGTTTTTATTGTTATCTTATGATATTTTATGATTTTGTAAGCCGCCCCGAGTAGACGCTGTCTAGGGGGGTGGGGTATAAATCAAATAAATAAATAAATAAAATAAATAAAGTTTGGAAGCCACATCAAGGAGGTAAATTGGTCTATAGTCACCGGGGTTTCATGGGTCACCTTTCTTAAAAAGCAGCATAATTATACTGCTGTGTCATCCTGGGGGAAGATTTCTTGTGCAGTTAATGTAGCTAAACAAATTGGCTAAAATAGGGGACCACCAGTTAATGTCAATAGGGTGAACCTCTGTGGGAATCATATCTTCACCTGGGGCCCTGCCATTATGACAAATCAAGCTCAAACCCCAATTTCTGCAGGAGAGACAGGGGTCTATTCTGAGATACTAGGTGGAATCTCATTTGTATTCTGTGGATGCATGTCACTCACAAAGATGCCACTAAAATGTAAGACCCATACTACTGGTGAAATTGGATTGACAATCTAAAAGGCTCTCTGAGAGAAGTATCTCCCTATCAACTTCCAAAAATTTGGTTCATTCGATAACAACCTAAGGAGAGTCCTGCTGGATCAGGCCAAGAGCCCATCTAGTCCCGCTTCCTGTATCTCACAGTGGCCCCACCAGATGCCTCTGGGTGCATACGAGACAACTAGATAGCTGTCTCCTGATACCCATCCCCTGCATCTGACATTATGAAGTACAGTGGTACCTTGCTAGACGACAACCCCACTGTACGACTCGATAACAACCTAAGGAGAGTCCTGCTGGATCAGGCCAAGAGCCCATCTAGTCCCGCTTCCTGTATCTCACAGTGGCCCCACCAGATGCCTCTGGGTGCATACGAGACAACTAGATAGCTGTCTCCTGATACCCATCCCCTGCATCTGACATTATGAAGTACAGTGGTACCTTGCTAGACGACAACCCCGCTGTACGACTAAATCGCATGACAGTGACTTTTTGCGATCGCTATAGCGATTTGTAAAACAGTCATTCTTATGGGGGAATTCCGCTTGACAATGATTTGGTCTGTGCTTGTGGACCATTTATTCTCAAGATGACGATTTTTTCTGACGATCGTCAGCTTCCTAAAATGGCTGCCCTGTGTTTTCCGGACCCATGCTTCTCAGGGCAGCCATTTTAACAGCTGATCAGCGCTCACAAAATGGCTTCCGTATGGGCGATCTTCGCTGGACGAGGAAGTTTTTTCCCCATTGGAACACATTAAACGGGTTTCAATGCATTCCAATGGTGAAAGGCTTTTTGCATGATGATTTTATTTAACAGCGATCTTCCCAGAACGGATTATCGTTGTCATGCAGGGCACTACTGTACCTTCCTTTTAAGCCTGGAGATTATACATCCCCATCATGGATTGTAATCTGCAATGGACTTTTCCTCCAGAAATCTGTCCAATCCTCTTTTAAAGGCATCTACGCGATGCGATTAGCTATTTTACATTGAGAACATGATGGTAGGCTATAGTTTTTGCTGTCATGTTTGAAGGAAAAGCATACAGTGGTGCCCTGCTTGACGATGATTATCCGTTCCCCTGAAATTGCTGTTAAGCGAAATCGTCGTCATGCGAAAAACAATTCCCCATTGGAATGCATTGAAACCCATTTAATGCATTCCAATGGGGAAATTATCTCATCCAGCAAAGATCGCCCATAGGGGAAGCCATTTTCCGAGTGCCGATCAGCTGATAAAATGGCTGCCCTGCAAAGCATGGGTTTGGAAAATACAGGGCAGCCATTTTAGGAACCCGACGATCAGCTGGAAAAAATAGTCATCTTGTGAACAAATGGGGCGCGAAGCATGGAAGTGAAAATCCCCCATTGAAATGACTGTTTTGCGAATCGCTATAGCGATCACAAAAAGTCATCGTCCTGCGGATTCTTCGTTTAGCGGGGTTGTTGTCATGCGGGGCACCACTGTACTTGTTCTTAGACCATAATTTCAAATATTTCCAGAAAGGTTTGCCGACTGCTTGTTAACCTTGCTGGTGTTTCTTCTAGCAAAAGTCAAACACTTGTCCCATATCCATGGTCTGGTGGTACAAGTGTTTGACTTTTGCTAGAAGAAACAAAATTCTGGAACTGTTACTGAATAATTGGTATCTTAGTTATCTTATTGGCTTTCTTCCTTTCTATCTCTTGTTGTCATATCTATTAGACAGTAAGGCTGAGGACAAGGATTTTTCTTGCTTTTTAAATCGTGTAGTGTTTAGTGCAGTACACTTAATAATATATAATTCAGTGAATAATAAATATTGAAATATAGTACTGAATAATGAATATTGAAATCTTTTTAAAATTATTCTTCTTTCAGTTTACATTTAGAAAGTTTAAAAATGTTCTGCCTATCTGCTTAGTATTTGTAGTGTATATACTGCCCCATAATGCTTAAGGCACTCTCTGCATGGTTTATAAGTTAATTGCGCAGGCTACACATTGCCCTCCTCCTAGTGAGCGGGGTGCTGAATTTACTGATCTCAGAAGGATGAAAGGCTGAGTCAAGCTTGAACCATCTACCTGGGATTGAACCCCAGGTCAAGAGCACAGTTTCTTTCTTTCTCTCTCTCTATAAAAAAAGGTATATATAAGTTATATATAAAGATGACTCCTGCATCTCTTCAGATGACTGTCTATCCATATGCTTTTTTTTTTTTGCTCTTTTTATTTTTAAAAATGGATGGTGGGCTATTTCTAGTCCTGATGCAACCTTGGCCTAAATTTGATTCCCAAACACTTCAGGACTTGCTCATGTTGCTCTGAGGTTAAACATGGATTTTATGTCTTCATTAGAAGTGTATGGCATGAATTTCTTTTTGTTTGATTTACTTATCACCTGTATTCCTATATCTTTCTTCCAGGATGTTAATGAATGGAATATTGCTCATCTCAACACTATATTAGATATTGTAGAAGAGGAATGTGGAATCTCCATTGAGGGAGTCAACACTCCGTATCTGTATTTTGGCATGTGGAAAACAACGTTTGCATGGCACACGGAAGATATGGATCTCTACAGTATTAATTATCTCCATTTTGGAGAACCAAAATCTTGGCAAGTTAAATCTTTATGATAATTTTGTCAAAGATGTCTTCATTTTTCAAGGCTAGAAGATAAAAGTATGTATTTGGCTAAACCTATGGCCATATGTGAGCTCAGCAAGAATGATGAAATGGGGAATGTTGTGGGGAGAGGATGAAAAGAAGCATGAGGATGGAATGAGGATAGTGGAGAATATAGTGGAGTTGGCTCGAGTCCCTAAAAGTATTTTGTGACTTCCAAATAAATGGCTGTTAGCCCATCTTGTTGGCAAAATTGGATGGATGGAAGAAAGAAATAAAGAAATGGAAAGAAAAATAGAATCAATACTGTAGCACTTTAAAGACTAATAGTGCTAGTTTATTTCAGTATGGCTTTTTGCAACTTAAAAGCCACTTCTTTAGACACTGTTTGAAGAATTAGTTTTTAAAGTGCTGCAATGTTTTTCCTTTTTTCTCTTCTCTCCAAACTCTTCTGCTTTCAGTTTTCCATGTTTTCCAGTTTTCGAGACAGGGTCTTATATTAATTTTTGCTCCAAAAAACACATTAGGGCTTATTTTCAGGGGATGTTTCATTTTACAGTCATGTCATCTGGTTGCTGCGTAATGGTGGAGGGCGGGGTTTCACTTAACTAGGGCTTATTTTGGGGGTAGGGCTTATATTATGAGCATCCTGAAAAATTCTACTAGGTCTTATTTTCAGGTTCGGTGTTATTTTTGGGGAAACAGGGCAGTATGATGGAAGAATTAAGTTTGGTGGATTAGACACATGCCATGAGTAAAAAAGACAAGTTTGCTGTTCTCTGCATTAGTCAGACATGTTTTGGAAGGAGAGAATCAAAGTCTCTTGTGCTTGCTAGAGTCTTGAGCATCACAGTATTATTACTAAATATCCACATCTACATGCATACTTAACCTTGTATGTTTGTACAAAACAGTCCTGGAGGAGAAGATAAAGGTAGGGAAGTTAAGATCCGTCAGATAAAGAAAGAGGAGGATATTTTGAAAATGGTGAGCTTTGAGAGCAAAGTGAATTTGGTTTAAATCAATCAAATTAAATCATGATCTAAATCACAATGTAAATTTTAAAAATTAGATTTATTTTAAATTATTTAAATTTTTTAAAAAATGATTTTAAAAAATTAAAATGGTGATTTAAATTGTGATTTAAATCTATTTTTGTTAAAAAAGAAAAGAAAATCATTGATTTTAATCTGCCCTTTTTGGAAGACCTCAGCACAGTACAGTTTCAGTGACAAAGACCAAAATCCTATTGCTTAGAGGAGTAAATTACACTAGACTGGGTCCATCTGAATCAATGGAATGTACAGAGGGGTTGACTCAGCAAATCCCTATTGATTAAATGGACCTCCTTTGGTCTGATTTACTATGCTAAACAACAGGATTTTGGCCATACAGTGGGGCCAAAAGAGGAGCAGGATGTGCATCATTAAAATATATATCAGAATAAGGAGGCTGTATGTGGCTGGATACTTGGAATCTAACAGTGAGCACAGGGTGTTCTGGTGCTATTCAGCTTTGGTTCGCAGGAGGGAATAATTAACCTCAGACCATGCTGCATTGTGGTTTTTAGTCCCATATGGTCAATGCAGACTGTCCAGTATACTGGACAGATGGACTAATGAAGGTTATTAACAACCCTGGAATCTCACAGAAATGTGGAATTCATTAAAATAGAGTTTAGAATGAAGAGCACAGGAAAACACAGTGCTGACCAGTTAATTACTTCAAGGTTAATTACTTTTATTTAAATGGACAGGAAAGCTATTATTTTCTGACAGTAATGATGTACAGCACTCTAACTTCAAATTGTTGATGTAACATATGTTTAAGGTTTTCATTTTTAAATGTATGCCTTGCTTTGAAATAATGAATTTTACAAACTTGAATATATTGGAACTTCAGTCAGAAATGCAGCCTTTTCAATGTTGCACTTGGATATTTTAGAAGTAGGTCATTTGTATCTAAAACACCAGAATTACTCAAGGGTAGCAAACATGTGATGATTATAATGTTAATGTGAAAGTATAAGTTATTAACCTCATACTACTAAACACATTTGTTGATGAAGCCTGTAAGTGACACCAGTTTCCTAGAAAAAAGGGTAGTTCTTAAAGGTTACAATGGAAACAGATTTACCTCACAGTATTATTGTAGTTAGTCACGCTGGCCACGTGGCAACGGAAACTGTCTTTGGAAAAGCGCTGGCTCTACGGCTTGAAAACGGGATGAGCACCGCTCCCTAGAGTCGGACACGACTGGACTAAAAATGTCAAGGGGAACCTTTACCTTTATTATTGTAGCATTTAAACAGTATCCAAATATATTGTGAATTGGAATTTGGAGTAGCTATTAAATAGAGAAATAAAAATCATAGAATAATTGAGTGGGAAGGGGCCTATAAGGCTGTTGAGTCCAACCCCTGGCTCAATGTAGGGATTCAAATCAAAGCAGAACTGACAAGAAGGTGGTCCAGTTTTCTCTTGGATGTCTCCAGCGTTGGAGCTCTCGCCACTTCCCAATATAATTGGTTCCGTTGTCCTGCTGTGCTAACAGTTAAAAAGCTTTTCCCGATAGTCTAAACCTGGCTTCCTGTAACTTGAGCACATTGTTATGTCCTGCACTCTGAGATGAGTGAGAACAGATTCTACCTTTCCCCTCTGTATGACTATCTTTCAAGTTCTGTATTTGAAAAGTTTTCCCTAACATACCTGATTGGGGAAAGCCTACCTGAGTCTGAAGTTGTGTTCTGCCTGTTTCCACTGATGTTGAAGGGCCCTGTCTTGAGTCACTCTTGCACCAATGGATGTGTGAGACTAGCATGCCTAAAAACAATTTCTTTATTATTTATTAGTTTTATTTATAAGCTGCTTTTCCTCGAATCCTTCAGGCTCCATAGCCTGATGACAAATTTTGGGAGTCCTTCTAACAGTAATTGTGCTTGAGGCTACCCAGGAAGTTCTCACACCTGAGCCATGTTTCCTTTTCAGAGCATTCTAGAAATTTATTCCTAACAGTTAGTCAGTAGCACACAGAATATTCCTGTGGCAGACACAAGAGCATTGCTCATACTTTCTCAGAACCTCCTATTCTCCTCACACCACAGCTCATTCTGTTTAGCAGGGTCCTTTTCCTTCTGTATAGCGATAGGAACGGAGTCCATAGTCCATGGCAATGGCGGAATTGTGAGTGGTCGGTCTGGCCCAGGGGGCTGACGCTCTTTATCTGCACCTGTGGGGGGATATTCATATACAAATACCCCCATCTCTAGTCATGAGCATTGCATGTATGTTCCAGAATTCATGTTGATGATATATAGCCCTTGACACAGAAATGGCTTGCACATACAGATTTGGAGCATTTACTTCTTGAAGAGCAATGACGGCTCTTTCTCTCTTTCTTCCTGAAAAACAGAGGAATTAACATGCTTGGGGGGAAGTGGAAGATTTTCAGAAGCATATAAAACATGCAGTTGAGAAGACCTATAGACCTCTACCAATGGTGCAGTGAGCAATGAACATATATAGTAGCTATTCTATACTGAATGACTGGTAGGATCAGGGGAAAAACTACAGAGAAGGAGAACAATAGGATGGACGGTAGTTTGCTGATTGGGACACTTTGTTAGGTGCAGCATATTTTATTCTAAACTCAATTTTAATTGCATTTCTGTGCAGTACAGTTGTCCAACACAACTATGTATTGTAATAAGTAGTCTTTGGTACATTGTGCACCTGCAATTTTGCTTATTGTTTGCAGTTGGAGCAATCAGCTTGTGCAGGCTCTGGAAGGAACAGCCTCTGTCTTTAAACAATATTAAATGGTTTGCAACCAACTTGCATTCAATTAATTTTCCCCTGATAAAAACATGTCATGTGGGCCATGGAAAAAAGAGTAAGATGGACATGGTAAGTTGAAACTAGTTTGCAAAACCACGTAAATAGTCTTAGGCAACATATATTACAACAGTGACATATCAGAACTAAATTGCTCAGACAATTTTTTTTTGTCTGTGGTGTTTAAAGGCACACAAACAGATATACTTAATGATTTGGCTGCAAAGTTCTATATTACACTAGAGCTGGAGATTTATAACTCAGCAGTGCTTCCTTTGAAAATTTTCTCTAACTCTATTCATTATTTCTGCATACGTATGAAGGACAGCACTTTCAATATGCATCTTCCTAAGGTAGTTTTAGCTCATGGTGAAGTGTCCCCCGCACCAATAATTTGGAAATAACTTGGATGAAAAAAATTTGGGGGAGATTTTTTTAAAAATCATCTATATATAGTACAAAATGCCTTTTAATATTTATTTAAGATGAGCAAATGAAGGGATCCTGTGTGTTTATGTTGCTGCAGACATTTGACTATGTTTACAGAGGTTTGCATTCTTTAGCTGTGTTCAATGCTGTAGCTTCAGCATTTATTTCTGTGATAAGTATACTCACTTTTTGTCCACACCAAAAAACATAAAACAAAAAAACCTCTTTATGAATGTGGGATATTGTGCTTCTGCATTCATGATTCAGAATGCCAGGAAAAGGCATGACATTGCTGCACAATATCATGCCCGTGTTGCCAGCAGGAAAAAAGATGCCAAGCTTTACATAGCAAAGGGCAGCTTGAATGTTGACAACACCAGTGGCAGCAGTCAAGATGGTCTACAGGAGCCCTCTTGTGCTCACTCCGTTCATAAAGTGACACCAAGCAAGGAAAAATCCCAGAAGCTGACTCCTTTTTTCATCAGTCAACCACTTCTCACCCCAACACAAAGCAATTGTCAAGGCTGTTTTTCAACAAGTATGAATTTGTCCCATCACTAACATGATGAATATTTAAATTAACATGCTGGCAGAGCAGATCAGCACTGTAGCAGATTACAAGTGCTGCTGCTGTTTAACAAAGGGGACATATTGGCCAGAGTGTTATTGTTTGTTCTCATGGCTACCTTTCATTTCCATTCATCTGAATTTTTTTAGCTGAGGATTTTAG